GTAGATGTCAGTTAACATCCTATTTCGCTCTTATTTCATTTTTTTTTTTTTTTGGTTAAAAATTGTATATGGTGAAATATTATTCTTTATTTTGTTCACAAAAAATCCACTGAATTCAATATGATAATACAAATTGAAAAAAAAAAAAAAATGACAAAAAAAGAATAACAAATTGAAAAAATCTTTAACTTGTTCGCTGATTTTTTACAGAAATGCAATGAGATCTCTTGTTCATGATTTTTTAGCGATTTTGAAAAAGTAATTATCTTTTAGCTTTGGTGTGACCGCGTTAAATTATTTCGATATCATCTATTCCGTTTCGCCACCACATAATTCGGTACTACACTTCCACGTAGCCCGCCATCAATTTCAGTTCTCAAGAAATCAAGTCAATTAAATAAATTGGTATTAATATTCGAATTCAAAAATAAAATATAAAAACACTACAAATTTACATTAGAAAAAAGTAAGTCAAAATTAGAAAAAAATCATTCAAAATAAAACATTACTATTGTACATTTGAAAAGTCAAAATGAAAATTTTAATATATCACATTTTTACGCGATTTTTTTGAATACTATCCTTTTCGGAGAGGAGACAATTCCGAATTTGTGTGAATCGTTAAAATCAGTCCAGCGGTTCTTAAGTTATAAGCGTAGTAACTAACACAACTTATATATATATATATATATATATATATATATATATATATATATATATATATATATATATATATATTCTCTCATATATATTCTCATTCTACAAACATTAAATATGTAATGTAATATTAAAATAAGTAAAGACACGACAAAAGTCGAGCTGGATAGGCCATATTATGTTCTTCACTACAATACATATGTGACAGAGCTTTTTTAATATATATATATATATATATATATATATATATATATATATATATATATATATATATATATATATATATATATATATATATATATATATATATATATATATATATATATATATATACGGGCCAGCTAGTCCCGGTCCGCGTTGCCGGCCCCTACTTTTAGTTTTTAATGCATATTTTTTAAGGCATTATAGAACACTGATCTGAATGATTTCAAAATAGTCAAAGATAATTGGTCTTTTACACCCATTACCTTAAGATAGGAATTAATTTATTTTTGTCATTTAAATTGTGTGTTGGAAAACCCATAAAGTCCATATTTTTCTTCATAGTATAATTCAATAACGATCCAAAAAATAATATTCGTGATTTTTTCATGTTTCTGCCACAATTTGATATTTCGGAGTTCAAAGCATGTAGACGTACATCCCACTTCTACGTTCCCAGGCAATATTCTCTTGAGAGTTAAAAATTCAATAGTATACCAAATTTTTTTTTTCTGACCAAACATTGGTTAGGAATGTGGATTTGCGGGTACACTAATGTGGGAACTATACTTAATAAAATGCCTATGTGGACAATTATCTGTAAGACGATTCTCTATCCCAGAGTAGCCTAAATACAATTTTTTAACCAAATCAATTGATGAATGTGATCAAGACCATGATGGACTCTACTCCAAAAGTCAAAATATTATGAGAAGAGGTTTTTTACACCCGTAGAAACAAAGATGTCAAATAAAGGCCTGAAAAATGAAAGAAAAATGTCGAAAACCCCGAATATAGCTTAAATTATATAATGGTTATACCAAAACGTGATTATTTTTTGCGAGGATGGTTTCTTCTCAAATTACCAACTTTTGCTAAAATGCGTATGAGTAAAATATGGTTAAAATGTAAACTATACTTGAAAAAGGAGTGTACCCTTATCCGGGGGTCATAGATCGTGACCTGCAAAAGCGATTTAAGATATCTTGAAAGTTTTTTTTTTTCCTAAATGTCCAATTCGCTCTACCATTTTGCACCATTTTGCTCCAATGAATTGCATTTTGAGTTCTCATTGGGCGGATTATTGTAATATGAAAGAAATAGGTTAACATATAAGGGTTATACCAAAGCATGGTCCTATTCTTATAATTATTTGAAAACATGTGTTGTTCTTCTTAAAATCTCAAATTACCAACATTTGATATACATCTGATATATATTTTGAACAACTGATTATTCATGAAACCCCTAGGAAAAATTTAAAACTCTATGGTAACTTTTGCGAAGTATAGAGCAAAATATTTGAGGCCCTTTGTGTTTGGTTAAACTGTATAAAATGGACCCTAAAAACGTTTGATCCCCCCCCTTTTTGGGATTGTTATGTACCAACCAAACTGACTACTGATGATAGCGCATAGTCACCGTATAACGTTTCATGGGAGTTAAGGTTACTTTTAAGGTTTCGGAAGAATTTTCCGAGGAAATGTATCCTTTTCTTTCCAATTTTTCAATTTGCTCCACTATTTTATATAGTTCGCATATAACAGTGCTCTTCATATTCGGTATTTCACTGGTTGCAGTCCCAATGAATTTTGCATTTTAAGTTCTCATTGGATGGATTATTTCCATATCTAGTCAATTTCCATTGATTTTTTTTTTCGATTTTTCCCGATTTGAGAATTTTTGCCATTACATCTCTTTTATAGTGTTTTTAGCGATTTTGAAAAAGTAATTATCTTTTAAAACCGGTCTAACCGCGTTAAGTTATTTCGATATCATTTGACTGACTTCCATGCAACCCGCCATCAATTTCAGTTCTCAAGAAATCAAGTCAATTAAATAAATTGGTATTAATATTCGAATTAAAAACAAAATATAAAAAAAACACTACAAATGTACATTAGAAAAAAGTAAGTCAAAATGGAAAAAAAATCATGCAAAATAAAACATTACTATTGTACATTTCAAAAGTCAAAATGAAAATGTTAATATATCACATTTTTACGCGATTTTTTTTAATATTATCCTTTTCGGAAAAGAGATAATTCCGAATTTGTATGAATCGTTAAAATCGGATCAGCGGATCTTGAGTTAGAAGCGTAGTAACTAACACAACTTACATTTATATATATATATATATATATATATATATATATATATATATATATATATATATATATATATATATATATATATATATATATATATATATATATATATATATATATATATATATATATATATATATATATATATATTACACAAAAAGCTCTGTCACATATGTATTGTAGTGAAGAACATAATATGGCCTATCCAGCTCGACTTTTGTCGTGTCTTTACTTATTTTAATATTACATTACATATTTAATGTTTGTAGAATGAGAATGCCTCTAACATTTTCTTCATTTCAACTTGGAATAAATACTAACCTAAAATGACTCAAGAAATGATTATTTTTCAAGTGAAACCCTCCCCATTTTTCAAATAGCCAACCCTTCTTAACACATTTTCCAACAATTTGTCGCTGAGAAGATATTTAATGGATTGCCACCTCTTTTACCTGTCTCAAAGGTTTGAGATTTCCAATATGTCAGCAGTAGGAAACATGTCATTTGGCAGTGGAACAAATGTAAGGGAAAGTTTTAAATAAAGCAAATGAACAAAAAAACGATGTATACATTTCCTTTCACACTACTTTCTTGTTTCTTTCTTTCATTTTTCCTCCCTAATCATTTGACAAACATAATCATAAAGTATCCGTAGCTTCTCTTTTTACGAAACAGCAAAAATGATTGTCGGACATTTCTTTGAATACAAACTGAAAACAAAGGGAAGAAAAGAAAAGGAAAAACACAGACAAAAAAGTTAAAAGTTAATAATTTATTTAATGAATTCAGATTAGAATGAAAAAATAAAATAAAATTGCAAACAAAGCATATCAAATCCCCACCTATCAACACCATCACCATTCTTTGCACAGCTTGAAACATTTCGATGCCTTAAATCGAGCAACAGCCTTTGAGCGAAGATAAAGAGGAGACGAGACAAGTTTGTAAGCATTCTTTACGTTATTTGACTGCGGTGCTTTGTGATGCTTTATGGTCTGCAAAGGTCAAAGAATGAGCAGACCTCACACGGTGCGAGCGATGAGCTGGGGGAAGGACCGGTTGGGCGAGACCATTATCTAAGGAAGGGTAATATTAAAAATACAACATGGACTTGTTAAGAACAATAAAGCCAACATAAAATAAGGTATACACATAGTCAAACACCTCACCTTTAAACACCAACACCAGCAACTTATTCTGGCTGCAAGGCAAACTGGCAGACTTTGTGATTTTGACAGCAGCGGCTGTGATTATTAAAATCAGGTGGTTCTCCTCTTTATTTCCTTTTAAATATTTCCTTCTTTTGTTCTTCTAAGAAAAAAGTTAAAATATTGTTCCGAAAATTTCTGCACCAAAGATTATGAATTAAATCCAAAGTTTATGCAAGACAGCACGTGGGCTGGTGGGGAATAATGAATAAAGGTACAGGATTCGACAGGCATCAATGTCTTTGTACAGTGGGTTTTGGGCGAACAAAATTGTTGCAAATATTTATTAGACGATTTCTAGAGAAGTATTTATAACGAAAAGTTATACCCTACACCACTATGCATATATAGCAGAACTTTCCATGACAAATATACGTTTTTATTAGTAATTTGTGTTAAGTATATCATACTAACTAGAATCGGTATTTAATCTATATTGTGGTTTTTAAGTTTGAAGTCGGATGGAGAATATGCATGGGTGTTTATGCTAAAATTTTACAGAGACATTGCTATGCAGCATAGTATAGTGATCTACTTTCCATGGCAGTTTCGAATATGGTATTGCGCGTTTGTAGTTTAGAGATATATTCCAGCCAATTTTACAAAAAAAAATTAATGTAATCTACTCTCATATGAAGGGTATAAACATCTAAATCTAATTTGATTGATGAACTTTAAACTTTTTTTTTCGATTTTTTGGTTCTTTCGTCTCTTTCGAGGCAGAACAAATAATACAACTGCATGAAATCCACTATTGTCCTTGCTTCATATTTGTTTTCATCAACCAAAAAAAAATGTTTCGTTGTATTGTCATTGTTTTTTACAGTTTCATGAAATCAACATCACTGTTCCAATTTCCTTCTGATTGTTACTTCCTTCCTGCAAATGTTCAATTTTAATCGCAGTTTGTCTTTTTCTAAAACAAAACGAGCGACGAAGATCACGACGACAACAGCAGCAGCAACAATTTGATGAAGGGAATTAATTAAGAGGATTTCTGTTCGATAACTTCCAACCGAACTTCCAGCATTAGCAGAATGCCAAACATCACTCGACTGTCCTCTACAACAATGTCCAACTAAATTCAGGAGGCAAAATTCATGTCGGTGTTCGTCAAAGTTAAAACTTTGCCATACTTGGATTGTAAAGTTTTGTGTCAGAATTTCATCAGGTCACTTAGTCATAATTTTATGGTCCATGAAGCACATGGAAACCATGTCATAGGCCATTTAATGTTCGTTCGACACATTAGGCAACGATGGACGTTAAGCACAATGGATTAATGCATAGATGTTGGATGTTGGCGACTGCTCCTCTCTTTGGCGAAGGGTGTTTTTAATGTTGTCATCGTGTAATTTGCAAATTATATTTTCAATTTATTTTGATATCAGACTTGGCTAAATGTGATGGTAATTTTATGCTTATTATTAAAGTTAAAATAGAAAAACTCCTAACTGCTGCTTAAGAATGCAGTGGATGAGGAAAATAAAAACAGGGAAATCATTTGTTTTCTCTCTCTTTTTTTTTTTGCACCAATACATCTGTTGTCATCTATTATGCGAGTTTGATGGTAATTTCTTCAGAATACTGTAATTTCGAAAAAAAGTTAGCTTAAGATATTATGAGAGAGACTTTCAAAACATTTTCAGGAATATATTAAAATAAATTTAATATTAAACGTGGCCACAAGCATGTTCTCATTGTGTGCATATAATTTTTGTCAGTTGTATTATCATTCTATGAACATTTAAATTTTTTAATTTATTTTGAAGCAATTAAACTGCAAAATGTTAGAGACATGATTTGTATATATAAAATCGGATGAAGCAAATATTATCGATTTGATTTCGTTGTCTCAATTTGTGTACTCTTCTCCCAAAATGGAGGGAATTTTAATATTTGTCTAGTTTTTATTCTAATTAAAAAGACTTCGAAAGTAAATTCATAAATGAAAACTTTAAAATATTACAAACTAGCTGGCCCGGTCCGCGTTGCCGGCCCGTAGTTTTTGTCTAGTATGCATATTTGTCAAAGCATAATTATTCACAGATATGACTGATATAAGTGTTCGCGTACTGGCCGATTAAAAGTGTTTTAAAATACCTGTACCCATATTTAAGCCGTGGGCTTCAATAATTAAACCGTGGGCTTCAAAGGTGTGGATGTGCTAACAAATCTATTAAAAAGTATATAGTATATAAAATTTTTCAGTCAAATGAGCAGTAATTTGGAACTTGCTGTATTTTGTACACCTCATAATTGAGGGCTGAATGAATTAAGAATAGCCAAAGTTAATAACTTTTTTAAAGCCATTAGCACCTCAGATTGTCCATGTCGGTCTGTTTGTCCGCCAATATGTGGACTTGAGGGGGTACTATTATATGGAAAAAACTCTAAAATTTGTAGATATGTTGAAATTTTTGTGTAAGATTTTCACCCCCCCAAATACACATTTTTAGCCAAATCCTTTGAAATATGGTAAAATCATCCGAGACATTGACCTACATTAAATGAGTAAAAATAGTTTTATCCACCATACTTTTCATCATTGTATAATTCAATGACGATTCAACAAATATTTGGTCAAGTGCTATTTTCATATATTTGTAATTTGTTCATGTTTCCACAATTTATTTCACAGATGTATATCCCAAATCTACGTTTGCAACCAATATTCTCTTGGGAGTTAAAAATTCAATAGAATACAAAATTTTCTTTTCTGACAACACATTATATGTAAAAGTGGACTTGGGGATACTCCAATGTGGGGACTTTACTTAAATAAATTCCTATGTGGCAATTATCTGTATGATGGTTCCCTAACCCCTTAGAGACAATGATGCCAAAAAAGGGCCAAACAATGAAAAAAGTGGTCAAGACCCCAAAATAGCTTAAATCATATGATGGTTATATAAATATGAAATCGGGTACCCTTATCGTGAGTTATGATCGATGTCATGACCTGCAAAAGTGATTTAAGGTATCTTGAATGTTTGTGAAGAATTTCTGGAAGGATAGAAATCCTTTTCTTAGTAAGAGTCTCATTCGCTCTACTATTTTCCACCCTTTATATTTGGTATTTTACTGATTGTACTCCCAAAGAATTTTGCATTTTGAGCTCTCATTGGACGGATTATTGTTACATGAAAGTAGTAGGCTCACGCTTTGAAATGAGCTCCATTAGGCTTTTTCTGTAATTTTTGGTTGTTTAAATGTGTTCGCATCTTCCATCTGAACCACCATGTCGGCCCTGTAGTTGAGAGGTAGATGTCAGTTAACATCGTAAATTCATCGTGAAAAATTATTCTTTATTTTGTTCACAAAAAATCCACTGAATTCAAATGTTTAAAGACCCTTACTATTATTTTAAAACTCGATTCCACTGAAAATTTTTTCGATTTCCCGATTTGAGAATTTTTTTTCGTGATTTTTTAGCGATTTTGAAAAAGTAATTATCTTTTAATTAATAATTATCTTTCTTTTGGCGTGACCGCGTTAAATTATTTTGATATCATCTATTACGTTTCGCCACCACATAATTCGGTACTACACTTCCATGTAACCCGCCATCAAGTTCAGTTCTCAAGAAATCAAGTCAATTAAATAAATTGGTATTAATATTCGAATTCAAAAATAAAATATAAAAAACACTACAAATGTACATTAGAAAAAAGCAAGTCAAAATGGAAAAAAAGCATGCAAAATAAAACATTACTATTGTACATTTCAAAAGTCAAAATGAAAATGTTAATATATGACATTTTTACGCGGTTTTTTTGGATATTATCCTTTTCGGAGAGGAGACAACTCCGAATTTGTGTGAATCGTTAAAATCAGTCCAGCGGTTCTTAAGTTATAAGCGTAGTAACTAACACAACTTACATTTATATATATAGATATTTCAAATGTGCTCCTTGATTCTGATTTTGGACAATGTTATGTAATGAAAAATTATTTAAATTGTTGGAGAAAACAGAATATGTGCAAAATTTTTTCGTCGCACCAGTTAAAAGGTTAGATATTTTATTCCATTTGCAACACCTGTAATTATTTTTTGGCGGGTCCATAAAGTATATATTCAGTACCAGGATGCAAATGTAACTATGGGATTGTATATCGGACTATATCATCTTTATTATTAAAGCGATTTAATTGGATTTGGAGCAAGGGATTGGAACTCCATTTCTTTTAGCATATATTGAGCAAAATTGTTGTTATGAGAACTATAATTGAAGTGTCCACAATCTGAAATGGCTTTCACGAAGGGAAACCGACACATGCACTTTTTTCTTCATCAAATTTCACTATTACTCACCAAACAAGAAAACAATGGTAAGGTCAAAATTCGAGCGTATTTAGTAGACCTCCCGTAAAAAAAAGTTTATATTGGGAATTTCCGTGAAGTAGATCACACCAACTATGAACTTTATTTGAATACGTATCATGGCTTTAGAGTAGCCAACTCTAAACCGATTTGCAACAATTTTAACGAAGACTTTTGTATCTCTAGTACCAAATAACATTGCTGTATAATGCATGATATGACTTCGATTAGAGTTATATAAAACGGTCAGGCTTTATCCCTTTGTTGTTGTTTTTATAAAAACAACGTTGTTTTTAATAGTGGAGAACGATGGTAATGTTTAGCAGGGGGTTAGGCAGGGAATACCTAGGTTTCGGAAAGTTCCACCTCAATCCTCATCAGTTCCCTTGTTTTTTGTCTGGGATATTCTCCCCAGAAGTTATTTTAAAAAATAACTTCTATGACAAAAAAAAAAAAACAGTTTTTACCCAAGTGACGAGATCGTAAGCTCAATAGAAGAGGAACCAAAGAATTAAAGAAAACTAAAATTCTTTTGGAAAATCTTCTAAATCTTACAACCGCTTGGGTAATTTTTTTTTTTTGTCATAGAAGTTATTTTTTAAAATAACTTCTGGGGAGAATATCCAGACAAAAAACAAGGGAACTGATGAGGATTGAGGTGGATCTTTCCTAAACCTAGGTATTCCCTGCCTAACCCCCCGCTAAACATTACCATCGTTCTCCACTAATAAACAAACGTTGTTTTTATAAAAACAACAATAAAGGGATAAATCCAATTTGGGCTGATATTACATATATAATGTAGAGGATGAGGATGAAGATGTATATCGAAGGTATATAAAAATCTGAACCGATCTCCATACAATTTGACAGAGGTATTTTCGAGCTGTCTCTGATGTTCGGTATCAAATATCATTGTTGTGGAGTGCATATTACGAATGTGAGGGACTTTAATAACAAATCGGATGAAACATATATATGGAAACTACAGCTATATCTGAACCGATTTTCACCAAAATATGAAGTACTTGCTTCAAGGCTGAATTCCGTCGGAAGTGCCAAAATCTAGTCTGTTTGGACTGATATTAGCCATTTGGTGCACAATATACCTGAAATCGGATAAAGATATATATTGGAGCTATATGCAAAACTGATTAGATCTCGATACAATTCTACAGGGGTATTTAAGCGCTGTATCTGATATCTGGTACCAAATATTATTCTTGTGGAGTGCATATTACGCATATGAAGAACTAAAAACCCCAAATGGGATGAAACATATATATGGAAGCTATAGCTATATATGAACCGATTTTCTTCAAATTTGATGTACTTGTTTCTAGGCCGAATTCGGTCGGATGTGCTGAAATACATCCTATTTGCACGAATATTACACGTTTGGCGCACAATAAAATTGAAATCCAATCAAGATATACATAGGATCTGTACCTAAATTTGGACCGATTATCACCAATTTCGATAGGGTTCATTCTAGGGCTACACAACTGATTTATGGAAAGTTTAATTTCAATAAGAAAATAAATGCGACCCATATTTTGTATACAAAAATACATGGACAGACGGACTAACGTGCATAAATCGACTCAGGATGTGATTCTATGTGGATCATCGAAAGTAACAATGGGTCTGTCTCGCTTCCTTCTCCATGTTACAAACAAATGCACAAAAATATAAAAAGGACCTAAAATATCACTTTTTTGATTAGCTTGAGGTCTAAATTTTTCGACCAAAATAATCCTCATAATTTTATTTAAACTGTGTCTTTCTAAGAGCTTGCTGATTCAAAATTGAAATAAACCACATGACAAATTATGAAATGGCCAAAATTTGGCAGTTGATAGATAATTGCTTGTCATTTAACATTTAAATATAATTTCATGCCACGATTATTTTGTACAAAGTTCATTCTGGAGGTCCAATTTTCGACTACCTTTTCAATAGTTTGAGGGCGTATTTCAGCAACGACAATTTGAATATTGTTTTTCAAATCGTTAGTTGTTCCTGGTTTATCCACGTCAATCAATGACTTCAGTTCTCCGCACAAAAAATAATCAAGTGGCGTCAAATTATACGAAAGCAGAGGCTAATTCATCGGTCCATTTTTCGAAATAATGTTGTCGTTGAAATGTTCTTTCAATGTCCATTGCTTCGTCCGCAG